TACAACTACACTCCACTACACTCCACTACACTCCACTACACTCCACTACACTAAATTACACTACATTACACTAGATTACACTACACTGCACTCCACTACACTACATTACACTACACTACCCTCCACTACACTTCACTACATTACACTACACTCCACTACACTACAACTACAACTACGACTACACAACTACACTCCACCACACTCCACTACAATAAATTACACTACAGTACACTACATTACACTACACTACACTACATTCCACTACACTCCACTACACTACATTACACTACACTACATTACACTGAATGACACTGCACCACAGATAGACAGGTAGACAGATAGACAGATAGATAGATAGATAGGTAGTTAGATAGATAGATAGATAGATAGATTGGTAGGTAGGTAGGTAATTAGATGAAAGCGAGAGAGAGAGAGAGAGAGATATAGATAGATAGATCGATAGATAGATAGATACATAGAAGATAGACAGGTAGGTAGGTAGATAGTCACAGAAAGAGAAAGAAAGAGAGGAGACCTCAAGCACCTTTCGGTCCATCAGTGACTTCGCTCTGCCATCCCTGATTCACAACAACCAATCTCTCCTATAGGTTTCCTATTTTTGAAACTTCCGCCACCGCCTTGCGCGGTACTACTGGTATACTCTGGTTATTTATTAACACTCACCATACATCTCGTAACATATTATCCATATGATCCATATGGTCCATAACTTAATGTAACAGCTGAGTGATTAACATTGTTTTTTAATCATTTCCCAAATAAACGGCCATTTCCAAGTAGAACTAGTGGGGCAAAGCCACAAATCAATCCTACGGGATCCACAGAATGGAGTTGAAACATCATCATGATCTACAACAGTATGCAATATTTTATTAATACTGTAATTATATAATGTGTAAGCAAAAAAAATGGGGTTCAAAGTTCAAACCCACCAAAGCTTGGTTGTGTTGGTTGTATGCAGATTGAGCTGATTTCATTGTATATATTCTGTCCTTAAGCTTCTTATTTGCAATTTGCATCAGTTAGGACTGTCAATCTTGGCAAACCTACCACGCGCAGATTATCTGACCAAAAGTGCGTTTTTTCCGCCAGTTCTGGGATATCCAACATGTAAAAATCTAACAGTTTCTGTAGTTAAATAATCTAACGGTTTCAGCTACAGCAACGTGAGGTGTTTCATATAGGCATGTAAACAACATGCCAAAATGGAACAACATGCTAAAACACTAGAACTTCAGTCACCATTCAAAGTACTCAGAGTCACAACTTCAAAGTCACCACTAAACACACAAAAACAAGCTAAGTCCAAATTTATTTGGTTGGTGGTTTGGAACATGTTTGATTTTTCCATTAAACTTGGCTCACTCCATCATTTTTCAGAGGGGTAGGTATACCACCAACCAGTTATTCTTGTTTTGCAGGAAAATTCCGAGATTTCCGAGGTTTTCAGCGATTGACTGGCGCTCCGCAGGCAGATGGGGGGTGTCTCAAATGGTTTCGTCCTGTTTTTTGAGAGAGGCAATGTTGATTTTGTTGATTTATAACGCCACAAGGTTTTGCCACCCCATACACTTGTAATATATAATGCCCTCTGGTTATTTAACAGTTCACCATGGAAAATCATCATTTTTAATAGGTAAACCATTCTTTTTCTATGGACCATCTATACCATGGCGAACTGTTTATAGACCCAGTGGCCAGTGATCCGTAGATTTAGATCAAGTCACCAAATTCACCAACTTTTTGCGTTCGGGGACCCCACCGAACGACATAACCAAACATAGATGGGGACATAAACCACGAAGGGACACCCCTAAACAATACCAAACATGTTTTTTTGTTTTTTTTTTTTAATGGGGATTTAGCAGGATTCTAAACACGAACGGATCCCAGCCAGATTGACTCCTTCAAAATACATATAAAAGGTAAAGTTGACGAGTGGTGATTGCTGGGTTGTTTGTGCCATTGCAAAGTAAACTTTACTTCAGGTCCATGTGTCATATATGATCATATATGTTCACATGGAATATGAATGAGCAAAACTTCATGGACTGCCCAAAACTGTTTGCTTTGAGTTATTTGAATCCAACAGTAGCAGTATATACAATCAATCATGTAGAATCTCCATATTTCAATGGCATCCTCTCACAAAAAGACAGGGACATCATCGGTTGCCAAGGACGTCTTCAGGTCAAGTTTATCTATAAACACCACAGTAGACTGTAGATATTATAGTTATATGATATGATTCATGAACAAATCTATTTGTGATTGTGATGAGATGTGTTTCAACAGAGACCCATCCAGATTCTAAGTATCAATCCCCATTGCATGGTTACATCATAATACATCCTTATTTCGGTGAACATTAACATCTTGAGTGGTTAAAATTGTCCCCTCGAACAGCCCACGTGCCCACAAGAGTTGCTACGTGCAGGCTTCATTACCGCAGCAGATCTGGCGGCTTGTCGTGGCCTGG